ACTCTCGATATTTCTTGCGGTGAGCTTTCTCGCCTCAATAAGAGGAGAGAAAGATAAGCCCAAAGCCAATACCATCAACAAGACCATCCATACGCATTTTCTGCTGCCACTATCCATTGTTTGTTTGCTCGTCTCTATCTCGGATGTATCTTGCTACCCAAGGGTCTGTCTATTAATTTATACGAATTAATATCTCCTAAAAAGGAAACAATCTATATGGGTGGGATAACGTGGTTGTCATATTGAAATAAAATTCCTATATATGCACACGGTCGCCGTTATGGCAATTTATAAAGGAGTTTACCAAGAAATCTATATGAATAGCAGAGACTACCCTAAAGTTTAGGGATTGCAATCTTTCAAAAGGGAAACAATCATTATGGGTGGAATAATCTAGTTGTCAGACAGAGTTCCTATATATGCACACAACCATCGTTTTGGCAATTTAGTAGGGAGTTTGCCAAGAAATCTATTGATTGCAAATCGAGCAATTCTAGAGCTTTGGTATTCCTTTTTTGTCATTTTACTTAGTTAGCAACATTAAAGTTATTCTAATCACACCATAACACCACCTATTAATCACACATCTCTCTTCCCCTCTTTTCATTGTTTCTTCATTTAAGTTGCAGCTTTTGATATTTAAAAAACACGTTTATCTTTGCTTTAAGGATAATAGCAAATGTGCAAACGCCACAGCCCTTGTGTGTATGCCAAAAATTGATATTGAAAGATTAAGTAAAGCCACTTTATTGCGAAAATGTTGAATCGACAAATAAAAAAAGTTAATTAAAGATAATGTTACACCATAAAAAAAGGGCGGTGCTATTTCCATCCCTATTTGACAAAATCCACACAATTTTCACCAAAAAGATAATATTGCCCTCAATTATTCAATTGCAAATTAAAGTGGTGGTCCCAAATTAATTGACTTTCCGTTTTTAGTTTATCTATATCTATGTAGGATCTGCTTACCTTAATTATGAATTTTACATGTTAAATTTTTGTTTATGGAAGGTTTCCCATGTTTATTAAGGGCATTATGTTTTTTTATTGTTAGATATTACTTCCACAAAAAGTAGTTTTGTTGAAAAATGAAATTTCCAAGAAAACTAGTTCTTTTTTACCTTATTGGGAAACTTTATGGATAAGTTTTTAAGTAGAGTCTAGAAAAAATTTAACATAGACAATTTTTAAAACATTGACTTTTTTATATGTTTTAACTTTTGTTGTGTGTGTATATATATAAGAAGAAAATATCCTCCCTCGTGGACTCAAGTTCACACTGATATTGTGAAACAAATCAAACGAACTGTCAAGGAAATTCCTTGCCTACATCTTACCAGCCATTCCCGCTAATTGGGGAAAGGACAATATCAAGAATTTCTTTTTTAATAGTAGAGTAATTCTTTTGACAATCATTCCAATGTTTTGAGACAAATTGAACAATCTGTTCTTTATCGTGTTTGGATTGTTTAAGAATTCCTCCATAACCAATGTCAGAAGCATCAGTTTCAACAATTTTAAAAGCAAAAGAATCAGCAAGATGTAGGCAAGGAATTTCCTTGACAGTTCGTTTGATTTGTTTCACAATATCAGTGTGAACCTGAGTCCACGGGGAGGATCTTTCTTGAGCCTTTGGTGGAGTGGTTTGCAAATTATATTTATACGGGGGAAAAATTCAATAATGTAATTCAGACTTCCAAGGAATCTCTGTAATTGATTTTTGTCTCTGATTTCATCAGGAAATTTTTCAGAAAATATTGTGTGTGTGTATATATATATACACACACACACATGCACACACAAACACAAATAATGGGATGATCAAATGAAGCAAAAGAAACTCTCTTTGAAGATTTTCCTAAATAAAATCGGAGTTACATTCTCCAATGTGAAATTTTGGAAGATGAAATTTACTTAAATCAAAACATTGCATAAAATAAGGAATACCTTTTGAAAATGCCAGTTAAAACATAATTATTTTGGATTGGCAAAAATTAATATCATCAATGAAATGTTTACGAAAAAATATGAAGATGCCTTATTGTGCACAATTTTTTAGTATACCTAGATATTCTTCTAACGTATTACATGCTCTGTATAAAAGTATCTCGTCACTTTAGTAAGAAAAAAAGATAATATTTAATATAGTACATAAATATACTTGATATATAATTTAACCTAATGAAGTTAAAAAATAAAAAGTTTACTAAGAAAGTAAGCTTTTGAGATAAATAATAGATAAGTTGTTATAAGATTAATAATGAAGCAGAGAGTTTTTAGTTTTTTATTATATGAAAGAATATCTTTTTTGTTTACTATTAGCGAGATAATTTTACACGGAATATGTAAGTATATCTAAGAATAGACTTTTATTTAATACTCTAGAAAAAAAAAATATGTGAAATGCTTAATCATGGTAAACTAGATTCTATATAGAAAAAGAAAAAATAGAAAAAAAGAATGAATGGGACATCACTTTAAATTGCAATTAAATTATTAAGGACGGTTTTATCTTTTAAGTGTAAATCGAGTGGTTTAGGTTATTTAGGGGGTGGAAATAGCGCCACCCAATAAAAAAATTGTATAAACATATGTGGAATGTGAATAAGCAATTGCTCCATAATTTCTTTAGCTATCTTAGGGCTAACAATACAACCTAAAGGGAGTGAATTGATCGTTTGAAAACTTAAACAATTTTGTAGTTCTTCAATTATAGAAAGAATTTTGCCTTCAGGATGATTATCAATCTATCAAGATGTGTTGTGTTATTAAATATTTCCGCAAAGATAATATGAAGATAGAAAGTCAATCAATACCTTCTAAAGTGGGGATTCATACTAGATCACAAGATGTAAAGTTATGAAGTTAAATATCTCAAATAATAGTCTTGAAGTTCGTGACAAGATTGTCGTCGCGGGTAGAACAAGTGTTTTGCTAAAATTCAATCATCGCATTCCTCCGGTGATATTTGGCTTTCTGTTGACATTCAAGTATATATTATGACAATATTTAGGATTTGCCTTGCTGATATCCAGCTTCTTCCTGTTAATATCCAACATTTGCATTGTTGATAATCATATGAAACCCTTGATGATATTCATTCGGAAATTTAACTGATATTCATTAAGTGGTATTGCTAATATTCAAGCAGTTCACTTGCTAATATTCACGCAATTCACTTGCTTCTGGCTTCTTGGATATGATCAACTGTTCTTACCAAAATAATTTAGCAACAATAGTAATTTAGATTATGTAGACATAAAACCTTGCCTTTTCAAGTCAATAGGAATGTTCATTAAACTTGTTCATGCAGGTCTTTCAATCATAGAGAATACTTTCAGCATGAATATTACTTAAAACATAAACACTTATCGCATTTGTCAAGTCCAATATTAACTATGGATAGTTTTGTCATCTTCAAAATATATAGGAGGTTTTCTCAACAATTTGTACTAGATTTTCTAAACCAGGTAGTAATATTAGTGACTACATAATGGAGTTGCCATGTTAAACATAGTGCATTTTTTTTCTAAACAAGGTAGTAATGTTATATTGTTGCTCTAGACTGCTGGGTTTAAATAGGAAAAGAAATCGAGTTTGACGCAAGTGAAAGAGCAGTAAGAAAGCATTAAATAGTACTGACGATTCCACAACTTGGGTGTGCAAACGAACTACTTCTCGCGTGCACTACCAAACCTAGTATGTTAGCTTGTAACGGTTGTGAGATTCCAAAACAAAGAAAATCCAACTAAAGATTTCAAAACATTTACGAGTGCAGCTCATCAGCCATACGGCATCAATCATAGTGATTTGTAATTTAAAAGAATATTTTCTTGAATTGTCCTAGCTAAAAATACATAATTAAGACATGGTTGACATGTTGGCACAAAAATACATATATAATTGACCTGAGACTATTTATTCTGTTTTTAGTTTTTTTTTTTTTTTGGAGGGGGGGAGTGGTGGGAGAGGGGGGGCAATAAATATTAAGAAATATCGGCCCAAATGCCCAAAACAATTTAAACTAGTTCCAATTGAAAATACGTGAAAATGGCCTTTGCCCAAAACTTTGGGTGTCAATGTTGGTTTACATGGCCTTTAGACTATGCAATAACTTTGGGATGAGTGCAGAAATAGAATTTAAGCTTTAGGTCGTTGGTTATTTGAGAACTTTAAGGATATGGTTATTGGTCAATTGAGGACTTAAAATTTCAAAATCCCACAATCAAGTCTCTAGCTCGCCGTTAGTCAAATTCAGGCATCAATACATGGCAAATGAACAAAATACTTCACGTTGGATTTACAATGCATGAATTCTACAGAAGGCGAGTTCGAGATGATATAATTGATGCCTTGTGCCCATAATCAGAGGTCTCTACATCTTGCCACTTCCCAAAACAAAAATGCATATAATTAATGTTTCAGATAATATCAGTATACATGTTCCATAGGCCATGCAATAGCTTTTAAGTCGACACACTAGTGGAACCGGGTCAAAGATTTTCGTTCTTTTAAACACTCCATGGCCTTGAGCCAATAATCAAACCTAATTTCTTGCAACTTCCCAAAGCAAAATTACACGTAGGGAATATTAGACATTGTGCTGATTACGGAAAGATCCATTTTTGGGAAGAACGAAGGCGTGGCTACGTAAATTGTAGCACAACCATGCTTGGGTTATCCAGAAGAATAGGCTTGACGTTCACTTTTCCTGGTAGGAAAATCATAATTTAATAGCATGCCTTTTTCTCGTGAATTAGAAGGAAAAAAAAACAAATGACAACAAAATAGCATCCGAGAATATAGCCGAAAAAGAATCAAAAGACTCCCATCTTCCAAAGCAACAGAGATTCTTAATAAACACGCGCGCGCACACACAAAAAACAGAAATTCCATGAACTGCTCAACCCCATTATTTTCTTCAACCAAAAAAAAAATAAAGAAAAGTTAAAGAAATTTAAAGAAAAACCAAAATATACACCATTTGCTAGCTAATCCTATTACAAGGAGATAAAAGATTGTTCCACGGCAGGCTTTGTGAAAGATTAATGAAAATCGAAAGCTATTGCGTCGATGAGGATGTCCAAAATTGAGCATTCTTCACTTTCGAGACGCTGGCCAGGACACCCACCGGTGTTATGTCCCCCTCAACGGTCACCTTCTTAGCTGCAGAGTCTATGTTGAATGACGTCACGCCTGCAATTTTTAATTTTCTAGGGTTTTGTTAGCCACAAAAATATTCGAACTGTGCAAAAATACCTCATGCAGAACTGATTATGGATAGATCACCGAGTAAAAACATATGTTAAGACTTGTATTTTAGAATAAGTGCACTGAAAGCCCTAAAACTTATCATGATAGTACAATCGAGTCTTAAAACTTTAAAAAAGTATAATCAAGTCCTAAAACTTGTTACGAAAGTGCAGTTAAGTCCTAAAACCGTTACGAAAGTGTAATCGAGTCATAAAACTTTTAAATAGTCCAATGAAGTTCCAAAACTTATCACGAAAGTATAATCGAGTTTTAAAACTTTCAAAAATGCAACCAACGGAATGACTTAATTGGATCAATTTGACAAGTTTTAGGACTTGATCGTACTTTTTGAAAGTTTTAGAACTCAATTGCACTTTCGTGACAAGTTTTGTGACTTGATCACACTTTTTCAAATTTATAGGACTCAATTACACTTTCATGACAAGTTTTACGACACCTAATGCATTTATCCATGTATTTTAAGTAGAATTTCACGTGACTTTCACTATTTCGTGAAAGGCTTTATAATTGAGAAATTGATTTTGGCTGCTCAGGAATTTTTGGATTGTGGTGAAACTGATACCATTATAAAAAGTTGTACCTGAAAAAAAGAAAAGAAAAGAAACACAAAATATAAAAGAGTTAATACCACGAAAAACCCTGAACTGGTACACTTGTGACAGATTTACCCCAAACTATTTTTTTGACCATAAAAAACCCCAAACTGGTACATCTATGACAATTTTACCCGAACTATTTTTTGACCACTAAAAACCCCAAACAGTACACCTGTGACAATTTTACCCGAACTATTTTTTGACCACCAAAAACCCCAACCGACATTGTGACAATTTTACCCGAACTAATTTTTTAATATAATTTTTTTATTTTTCGAATTTTTTTAGTTTTTCTTTTCTTTTCTTTTTCCTTTCCTTTTCTTTTTTTCTTTCCTTCATCTTCATTGGACCAACAATGGATTGTTATACTGTAATTGATACCACAATAACGTGACACGTAACATAAATGCTACATTTTGACCCAAAAAAAAAAACATAAACGCTAAATGAAAGACTTTCTTTTATATGCATGAATTTTCATGCCAACCACTTTTTTCTACATTTAAATGTCTCGCGAAAAAGGCATTATATTGTTGTCGTGTCTTTCTTATTTTTGGGTGCAAGTGGATAGGCAAACTGATGGGGTCCAACGTAGGCTTGTTACCTAAGCTTGGAGTACAGCTAATCAACAATTTATATACGTCTTGCTTGCCAATTTAATTTAACAGATTAATTTACAAAATTAGTATATTTTATATATAAGATGAGAGATATTATATGTGCATGACGATTCATAAATCAATATGATCACTTGAAATATATAATAAATAAAACATGAGACATTTAAATGTAGAAAAAAGTGGTTGTCATGAAAATTCATGCATATAAAAGAAAGTCTTTCATTTAGCGTTTATGTTTTTTTTTGGGTCAAAATGTAGCATTTATGTTACGTGTCACGTTATTGTTGTATCAATTACAATATAACAATCCATTGTTGGTCCAATGAAGATGAAGGAAACAAAAAAGAAAAGGAAAGGAAAAAGAAAAGAAAAGAAAAACTAAAAAAATTCGAAAAATAAAAAAAATAATATTAAAAAATTAGTTCGGGGTAAAATTGTCACAGGTGTACCAGTTTGGGATTTTTGATGGTCAAAAAAATAGTTCGGGGTAAAATTGTCACAGGTGTACCAGTTTGGGGTTTTTGGTGGTCAAAAAAATAGTTCGGGGTAAAATTGTCACAGATGTACCAGTTTGGGGTTTTTTATGGTCAAAAAAATAGTTTGGGGTAAATCTGTCACAAGTGTACCAGTTTAGGGTTTTTCGTGGTATTAACCCAATATAAAATAGATAAATAAAAAAGAAGAGAAAAAAAAATGGCCTGACCAAGAAATGGCAATACATACCTTCCATTCTTGATAAGTGTTTTCTCACTTTCCCTTCGCAGCCTTTGCAGTGCAGCGATACCCTCAAGACGACCACCTGTGCGACGACATCTTTAAATAACGAGAACAATGTAGTTTTCTTTACAAAAAGAAATTGTCGATGTAGCCCATAAAAGAAATATTCTTGAGATTATTGTACATAAAATTGAAATTAGCAACCTTACCAAAAAAAAAATTGAAATTAGCAACGCAGTGACATGTGAATTTCAACGGACTCAAGAATTACGTGAATTGAAAGTAAATCAGTTTTTAATTAGCATTTTAAATAAATGAACTTTCTGAAGAGTGCTGCGAGCACTAATAATTTTCGAGTGTCAACTCTTTTGAAAATTGAAGTATGCATAATTGAGCATGGTTAACAAGTGCCATCGAAGGACTTGTTGACAAGACCTAGATAAACATACAGTGGCCTGCGATGAAACCAAACACGAATTTACAAACCGAATTGGATATTTGAACATATATTTTCTATCCTGTTGAAATATATTTATGAAATTAGATCTTGCAAATAGATAATTTCTTAAAAAGGTTTTCCACCGGCAGACATAAACATTGCTCTTACTAAAATGATGTAAATGTAATTACTGACCAAAGCCTATCGATTTGGAGTAGTATACTCACAAGCAAGTGAACCAACAGAAGAAACTCTTACCTGGTTCGAAGCGGATGTAAAGCGAGATGACAAAGAAGACGAAGTGGGCTTGGAAGCAACAATTTGATGATGATGATCTTGACTATTGTTGCTCCAAGCCTGAGCCGGAGCAGGTGCAGAAGCCGGGTCGCGATCTGATAGCCTGTCGAAAGAACCGGTGCCTCCCAAGAGATACCGGGTCGACCCAGGAGGAGTTGTTCTAGAGTCGCCGAGCTTGGGCTCGGGGCTGACGCTCTTCCTCGCAGCCGACGCAGTCTCCGTCTTGCTAGAGAAGCTCCTGGTCAAAATGCTATGCGCACCCCTCTTCTTCTTCTTGTTCTTGCTCTTCGTTTGGTCAGTCCTTGACCGGTTCTTGTCCGGGTCGCCAGCGCTTGATTTTGAAGGGGAGAGAGAGTTCGGTTCGGTTTTCTGGTGAAGTTGGTGGTATGGGATGGGGCTGATGGGAGGGCAGTGAGAAGAGCTGCAAGGGGGAGTGATGGGGAGGGCCGACCGGACGGACCGCCTCGCGTCTCGGATGATGGGATTGTGGCGGTCGATGGCTCGGTCGCCCGGATAATGCATGGTGGATGATGAAGATGAAGGACTGGCCTTGTTCACCATGCTCGAGCATATGGCCGTTGAGGCTTGGGATGCACACGAGATGTCTATTCGTTTCATGCTGGATAGGATGGTGATGATTGAGGAGGAGGCTGGTGTTCGGATAGAGAAGGAAGCGTTGTCTATTTCTGCTTTTAAAGCTTGGCCAGGTTGTGGGTTACCCCCCTTGCACAGGAGATAATACTTGCATGCTCCTAGCGGACCGAGCCCGACTGCACATCCACCCTTTATATTAGGTGCGGTCCACGTCAGTCCAACCTCATCCAACGGTACATATTTTAAGCTCACGTGCACCCCGAGCAGGCAAGATTTTTTCCTTGCATGTGGAGGGAATTATTAGGTGACCAAGGTCCATCTGACCAGACTCGAATCGCATCCGTGTTCACGTAACTCAAGTACTTAAGCAAGTCGAGACTAAGATTTGATTTGTCTCGCGAAAAATAAATAATTTAGAAAATATTTTCTTAAGAATGATCATTTGTATCACTTGAAATAATTAGTCAATGAGAATATTTTCATTATCGACGACAATTTATGTCTAAATATTTTTGTGGACGATGAAAATGTTTTTGGTTCACTAATTATTTCAAGCGGTACAAGCGATCATTTTTAAAAAAATATTTTTCAAATTATTCACTTTCTCCTGAACAAACGCACCATAAGCTTGAAAATACTTTACTTAAGTTGAGATTTTTAGGGACGGATATTTGGACTTGTCTATAAGCTTGACAATACCTTTAACTCTGAGTAATTCACAAACCAAATCGAATATATGATTTTCCAAGTTTTCCTTTAGAATTCGAGCTCGTGCCCACTCTCGTATTGGCTTTAGTTTGAGCTTAATTCCAATTTAGAATATGATTCATTAATTTATTGATTCGAACTCAAGCTTGAGCTTTTTGAAATGTCAAATCAAGTTCACGAACTCGAGAAAGTCGAGCTAGAGTCACGAACTGAATTTTTTTTCTTTTTTTTTCTTATTTTCCTTAGCCAGCCGAAATTCCGATGAAGGAAAAAAAAAGAGAATTTTAGAAATTTTCAAAAAAAAAAAGAAAATCGTATATGTTAATGCCGATCATGCCACGAAGAATGGCCGACGTTGACCAGAGAGCCACGTCGGGAATTATCGGCCAAAATTAGCTGGAAGGACTTCACTAGCAAATTATCCAAAGATTTAAGGCTAAATTGGCCGTCATACAATATTTTTAGAATTTTTTGGACAATTTCTCCGATAAACCTTGAAACTTGGGTTCATAAGTTTAGGGATGGATGGATGGAATATGATACATTTCTCGCACTGATAACTTTATTTTAGTGGACCTTTGTTTTGCACCAAATAAAATTTACTTCCTAAAAAGATTAAATATTGACTACGCTGGGACTAGGTGATCGAGTCTCTAATACTTAATGTATAAGATCAAATTTGCTGATTCTGCTCAGTAAAGGAACCGTACTTGAATTTATTTATTTTATCTTATTCAACAGGTGAATATTTTCAAAATTCATCTCTGAGTGCCGATCATAAACTATTCCATTTCGCTGCACATTGCAGTGATAAAGAAGTGCAATTTATACAAGTTATACAATGCACATTATCTCCCTCGTGGAACTGAAACCGGAAAGCCTTATGTTGGATTTTAGAGGAAAAATTTTTACATGGTCATTCGATCTATGATCGGCGTCGCCGATCTTACTTTTTATCAAGAAGAATTAACTAGACTCAGTTTTACATCAGAAAGGACGAGTCGCATTTTCTGCTTGTAAGTATATCTCAGTTAAGTCCCTAATCCCTAATCTTACAATAATGATGTAAGTATTCAAGATTTTCTGGACCATTCTTGTCGCCATACCAATCTTAACCTATTTCCTGTTTACCAACTTGTGGGTTATGAATACAGCAACTAGTACTCGAATTGGCACTTAATATAGAATTGCTTCTTTTTTTCTTATTTTTTTAATAGAGACGTTAACAAGAAAACAAGATTGTCAGCAGAAACATTGGTAAATTTGGGACAGAGAACAACGTTAGAAAAATTTTCAAAAGAAATAGCGAGCAGCTCAGAGAGGTCACAATCAACGATTCCCGACACATGGAATCGTGACTTGTGTAGAGGGAGAGATAATTACATCGACTCGGTCTATGCAAGGTTAACGTTCAATTGCTATAACAGCTTCGGTCTACTACGGCTAAGAATGGCCCAATCTGGCCATTCATGGTCCGGTTTCTAGAGGGACTGGATCGATCTTTCATCCTAGGGCCATTAGAACCTGTACTGTACGGATTGATCCCTGATCCTAATGCTTAAAAGGTTGGTCCAACCCGGATCTTCTTCTTTGTTGTGTCCAAACCTTGGATATATATTACAAGTGCCTCTCCTCTTCTTTCGCCGTTTCCCTCTCTCACAATCTCACTCTCTTCTTCAATCTATGATTATCGATGATATCTTCCATTTTCATCTCTTCAAGAGCAGTCTCTTCATCTTCTCTCTATTCATTTGAACTCAACGATCGATTTTCTTCCCCTCCCTTTCACTCTGCTACCTTTGGTGATCAGATCAGTTGTATCTTCACTGCGACTGGTGTGTCCCAAATTCTTTTCATTATTTCATCTCTATTTGTTTTTTTTTTTTTTGCTGATTCATCTGTTACGATGCATTGTAGATGAAGGGCTTAGCTTTGTTGGAATGGAGTGTTTCGCTTGGTTGTGATTGGCGGTGGGAGATGTCTCTCCATATTTCGGATAAGTTAGACTTAAGGTTTTAGTGGTTTTCTTTTGAGTTTAGTGAATTCGATGGTCCTGGATGACGAGGCAATTATGAGTTATTGATATGGTTATTGCGATGGCTATGCCACATTAGTTTCACTTGAAGGAATGAGGATGACAAATAAGTGGTGAGATGTTCTATCAATTGCACCAATAGTAATTTCAATTTAAAACTATCGTTAAGTATTAACTATACTTGTTGTTTGTTTAGTTTTCAAGTGTTGAAAATTTGAAGTAGTCTTTTATGAATGAATAAGATATGAAGTTCTATAATTCATGTTTTATGTTAAACTTTTTTATTATTTATTTTATTTTACGTGTTCATTTTCTATGGTTTGTTACTTTTGGCAAGTGAAGATTTCTATCGTTGCCTTATCTTATCTTAGATTTCAGTTTGATTTGTACCGGTGTTCACCGTTTGGTTGCTCAAGATCGGATTGTTGATTTATATGTCATTTTAAAGAATACGTTTGTCCTTTCAAGGAATACAAAAAATAATAATAATAAAAATAAAAAGAATCGGTTGGTCCCGAGTTGCCTTTGAAACCGGACCGAACTCACAGGTTGCTCCAATCTTCAGTCTCAAGCTCAACAGGGTCGGGTCCCCCGTCTTAAAAATTGGGGATCAATACTGTGCGGATTAATCCATGGGTTAGGAGCTGAACTGGCCCAATCTCAATCATGCTCACCACTAGGTAGTTGTAGAAACATTAACCTGAGCCCCAAGGGCATTGGGACCACTTTTGTTGTCTGAATTCACTATTCAGTGAAACATTTTATAGAACGTTACACAGAAGTAAATAGCAAACAGAGTCACAGACCCCACCTGTACATGAACGTACAGAGAAGAGGATACAGGTTGCATGTGCATGCAGGTGCAGAGCCCTACTCTTTAAAGTCTGTAAGGAGACACATGATTTGAGATATTCAGAGCAATTATTTTTGTCCGTGGGAAACGTATTCTGGCCCCCCCAAAAATTTGTACTGCGGATGCATTTGATGAGACACGGAAGCCTTTTTTTTTTTTAATTTATTTAGATAATATGGAGGCACGAGTGTAGAAAGCCGACTACTCGAAGGTACATGGAAGATCATTCAAGGATCATGAACTAATCAAATCCAAGTCTTTGCCAACAAGCATGGGCTCTACTGGTACAGGGAATGAAGGGTGCGATCGGAGAGTACCAAGTCCGGGGTTCAATCCTCGCGAGCGCGACGTACACACTTGTGCATAGATTGTGGGACTTGCATAAGTGATCTCTAATTCCCCAATCAGAAATCTCCATCCCTGCTAACCCAAATCATATGATTCCATAGATTTCTTCGTCTCTCTCGCTTTTTCTACGGGATAAGTGTACCACAAATCTTAAAACTAATCGCGAAAGCACAACCAAGTCCTAAAAGTTTCAAATAATGCAATCAAATCTTAAAACTTGTTAAATTGATGCAATCGAGTATCTCCATAATCCCATTCAAAATGAACAATAAAAATTATTATCTTTTGAAGAGAGAGGTGTTGATGTGGCATCCGCAACACAAGCATCTTCCTCTTTCTTGGTCCTTCATCGCGCAAATTCTGTCCACCTCCGTCGTCGCTCGACTTCACAAGTGCTCCGCCAACCACTGCATCCCCAACTCCGAAATGCCCACCATTGCCACGAAAGGATATTGTTCGGAAGCTCAAGCGGACATGACCAAGTTCGACGAAGCTCAAGTGGCCCCTGCAAGCTTCAAGAAGCCGAGAAGCTAGAGCGGTCATGGCTGTGAAGGGAAAAATTACCAAAAAAATAATAAACATATTGTACTTGTGTCAATTCAGTTTTAAACATTTTAATTTGATCAATTTAGTCCTGAATCTTTTGATGATTTGCCAATATAGTCATTCCTGACAACTTTGACCTAAAATCGCTGACGTAGACGCTAACCTTCTTATGTGGCCGACACTAATGTGGATAATTTTTGTAATTTCTTAAATTTTTTCTACATTTTTTGTATTTTTTTCTCTTTTTTTTATTGTTTGCTTTTTCTTTCTTTCTTTCTTTTCCTATTTTTTCTTCTAAGCCTAGCAAGGTCATCAGCCGCCCTCACCGGTCACAGGCAAGGGATGATCGACCCTCGCAGTTCGCGAGCGAGGGCTAGCAGCCCTTGCCGTTTGCGGGTGAGGGTCGCAGCCCTCGCCCATATCAAGCAAGGGCCACGAAGCCCTCACTTATAGGTGAGGACCGGTGACTCTCGCTGGCCACTAGGAGAGGCGGGCGAGGGCTTTGCAGAAAAATTTAAAAAAATTATGAAAATTGTCAACGTTAGTGATTTCTAGGAAAAATTGGCCAAGAACACTACATCGACAAATCGTTAAAAGGTTTAGAACTAAATTGATCAAATTGAAATATTTATAAATGAATTGGCATAAATATAATAAGTTTAGGATTTTTTCTTGTAATTT